CACACACACACACACACACACACATTTCAAAAACAAAATCTAAATAATAATAAACAAACAAATAAATAAACAGAACAAACTATTGAAAACATTTTTGTTTAGCAAAATTAATCTGAAATATAAGTTTGAAATGAAAAAATATAAACTAAAGTTAGAAAAGTTGCTTTAATGATTAATTAACTGAAATAAATTGAAGCTATAGAATAAGTTGAAGAACAAATTAACTGGAAATTATTTACTAATTATTTATTATGAACTAAAACAGAACTAAAGCTGAAAAAAATAAATAGATAAAATAAAAAATAAACCTAAAATAAACCTAAAAAATAAAAACCTAAAAAAAGGTAATAAAATATGAATAAAAACTATAACCTGAATATTCTCTTTCACTGTCAAAGACGTCACATTATGGAAGTGAAATGTGATGTGATGTGATGCCCTACATTACTTCCTGCTGAATATTTCATTCTGGAAGATATGGAAGTTATTATTGAATGTTGTCGTTAACACGTTCTGTAAACGTAAAGCTGAACGCTAAGACTTGTGACTGAAGGAGTCTCGACTGGTTTATGCAGCTCTGCGTTTCCATAACGCTTCATATGTTTTCCAAAACCTCATAATGAACGACATTAATAACACCTGCTTATGAAGCATGTCTGCATGAATTATTAAAATGAATGACTAACTCTTCTGGCAGCTCATTGTTTCTGCAAAAGTTTCACTCCTGAGTGCTGAATCTTGCCATATTGTGTGGATGTGCCGCATGCTGATAATTGCTCGTTTTTCTTAAAGGAGTCGTTCTTTTTCGCCGGAAGAGCCTGAGGGATATCAGATACAGTCACAGTGACTCTCCAGGATAAAATATTACACCTCATCAGCAGAAACGCCTCTCACTTTAACATCAAAGCGTTCATAATCCATAGTTTCCAGCACAGAGAGCGTCCTGATAAACACCTGCTGCTGTCAGCCATATAAACCAGGCTAAATCCAGCCGTCTGTCATTTAAAGCTATTCTGCATTTTGTATGGAGAATGA